AAATGGCTGGAGGGGGAGGAATATCACCAAGTAATCCAACATTTAACAACATTAAGTACAGAAATTCATTTATTTTCGTAAATTTTGATTTAATATTTTTATGCATTGCATTTAACCAATAATTTACAATAATTAATTCATATGAATTTCGAAAATAATAAGTATTATGTATATTTTACGTAAAAAATATAGAACTTTGATCGAGGAATATTCGCATTTGGGAACTTGAATGGCAGCCATGCGCTACAATTTGTGTTATACTTGAGCTTACATATACTGTACTGCAGATGTAATAAAATCATTGTGATTACCTATATAAAAATTATATGTAAATGTATTTACAATGCTAATGCAGAATACCCGACCTTTTTATCTCCAATAGTAAGCTTGCTGTGACTCAATGTGTACAATTACCTTTTGCGCTCGGAGGAAAAAAAATTAATAATCTGTACTCGGCCTGGACACGCTCAACAGAATGCGCAATTTACACCACTATAACAGAGCAAAATGTTAATTTTTTCACAACTTTTCTTTTATAACTATTTTTCGCTAAACATTACGCTTCATAATAGAATAAGGTTCATAGTGTAATCACATGATCTCACAAAACAGCTTGTAGATAATTTATTTACAAGGCTAAAGCAACAAACCCTGTTCTTTATCTCAAGTAGCAAGCTTGCTATGACTCAATACGTACAATTATCTCTTTATGTGGTGCAGTCAAGTGCAGTGAGGGGAGTAACCAGCCAGACTCCCAGCGTCTCGCCAGAGAGCACTTCCCTAAACCCAAGAGTGTTAACAAGCCTGCTGCCTTGGCTTTCCCAGAGGCAGGAGACTCCACAGGATGCTTGCTAGCCATTTTCAAAATTATTAATCACTTCACAGTGACCAAAATAGCAAAATCTGAATGATAATATTTTCCTTTCACCAATAACAGCAAATATCACAGCGATCACGAGGTTATGTAATACTAAATAACAATAACATTGGTTATATGAGCAAGGACGGGTGTGATCGTGTTGGAACAAAGGGCGGAAATGAGATAAGCAGGGTGACCGTCAGGTGGCACGCGGGCAGGTCAACTGTGTGGAGGATGGAAAAGCAGTTTCTGTGTATGGTGGCCATCTTGGATTTGACAAGTGAAGGGAGAAATGTGCTTCCCAGTGTTAAAAACTCCGCATCAGCGAGTTTAGTATCACGATAGCTATCATTAACGTGGAATTTGCCTGACAAATCGTGAGAGGGTGTTAAAACCTAACATTAATGCAGATTACCGTAAATCGGGGAACACCTGTACACACACACACCGGGTAGTTATTTTTAATGCAGGACTCAAAAACTGCTGGAATAAGTCTTGTCTACCCATAGATGGTGCTCATTTGGCTCCATATCTGGCTGCTTTATACCCATAATGCTGTAACTGAAGTGTGGTCAGCCTACTGGGTTGGGATAGTATGTTAATTCATGGCAGAATTCTCTGCACTCCCTACTCCACTATCTGTTTGTGGGTCAGTTTTGTTTATCATAAAAAAAAAGAGACCAAAACCAACTTTCTATGAACTTATTCAAGTACTGTACTGTATTATAACATTGGGTTGAATAATTTTTTTCTCAAATTAAAAACTGTATAGGTAGAATACCATTTTAATTTACTTCACTAATTTATTGTACAGTATTTCTACACGATTTTCACAGCAAGCCGACACGTGGGAAAATATTTCATATGTGTTATACTTATGAAAGAAAATTTACCTCCGCCAGTGATGTAGCAGAGACCAGATAATTTTGGGGTTGGTAAAACTGAGGGATAAACCATCAGGTGTGCATTTAGGGGCTAATCTTCAGGTGATCCAGAACGGCTAAAATTGTGTGAATCGTCTTGACTACATCACTTAAGTCTCCACAATATTACAGATCTGCAACTACCAATATGTAATGTTGTGAATCTCATCCACATTATTAACTTGCTTTAAATTACTATGATGCAACACATCCACTACTCAAAACAAGAGAAAAGGATACCTTTTAGAACAGTTTCCTTTACATGAAGGAATGTTTCTCTCTCAGGGATTGTACAAATTCTGCCCAGTCATAGCAACTGTACTGTACAGTCTCCTAAAGTTGAGAAGTAGAGAACAATCATTGCAGTGTAACTCCCATTAAAGTTGCTAATTTGCTGGATATATATTTGTTCTGACTAACTTGGTATTAGATTCCTTAAGTGCTTGTAATCTTCTCGTCTCAGGTCTGGCCCTGATCCCTCCAAGTTGACCATTTCTCTCAATTCCTTGATGGTGAAGGCAACATGTTCTGGACCCCTGCGACCAACCAATGTCACATGTCTCACTCGGCTGCCATTTAATCTCTCCAGTATGTTCTCTGGGATGTCTGTTTTCTGTGTATTACAAAAATTATGAATCGGTTACCCAAGAAACTACGCTTCTGTCTTCCTCTCTAATGAGAGGTAAACTTTACATAACAAATAAAATTTCCAGTGGTTGATAGTCACATAAATATAGGAACATTATTATATTTGCCATTTTGCAAGAGTAATAATTTATTTAAACTTTTCTTTTTATTATAAATAATTTTATAATAACAATTTTAATTTCATATCTAAAACATGGTGAAAGTACAGGTATACAGTACATGTACACTCGCAACAAAAAATATCGGTGCAGAGTGAGATCGACGACTTCCGAAACGATACGTATACACTGTGATATGTCGGGAAGGTTGGTAAGTGTACCCTCATAACCCCACCCCCCCTACTAGGTGTTGCCATATGGCTGACAATCAGTGTGTTTGTTTCCTCTTTTCGGATTGTTGCTTTGTGTTGACTGAATAATGAGCGAGAGTTCGGTCTCAGTGAACGTGGGTATAAAACAGAGGCAATATGAAGCAGTAGAGATCTACACATGCCAGACGACATGAAAACCTCAGAGGGAACACGAGGAGCTATTATTGCCCTTCATAACGAAGGGTTCAGCGTCACAGATATTAGCCGGCGGGTTGGTGTCCACAGGAACACCGCCGCACGATGGATTCGGCGATACCTCGAAACTGGTGCTACAGACGACAGGTCTCGAAGCGGCCGTCCACACTGCACCACCTCTCAGGACGACCAGGTTGAGTGGTTTATTTGTAGCATAAATTAAAGTGGCAATATTCACAAGTATCACAAATAATTTTGTTAACAGGGAGCTCCTCATATTTCATAATGTCTATTTATCACTTCCCGACCTTATTTATAACGGTTTGTTCCACTCGACCAGGCCATAGTGGCTGCTCAGCAGGATTACAGGGCTGCCAACATACGGCTGGAACAACTCGCCTTTCCCAATACCTATCGTCACTGGTCTCAAATTGTTCACACTACAGTATGCACCGATACTTTTTGTTGCGAGTGTACCTTGATCTATGAAAATTATTTGAAATTTCAGTTTTATGACAGTAATTAATTAACACCTTTATTTGTAGTTATGATTTTTTTTTCATTTTATGATACTTTTTACATTATACAGTACTACTAATTTTTTTTTTTTGGGTGGAAATAAGTATTTTAATTATCCATTAATTCTAAATTAAGTAAATGTTATAAATATTCAAAAAGTTTAATTGGCTACAGCATGTCATAACAAAATTCTTTACAAGCCATTCTTCAACAAAACTATTCAGCAATTTCTTACATTTTCTTCAGCAATTTCTTACATTTTCAAAGTGATTTACCCTCTATAGAGATATCAGGAAAACAACCAGCACATAAAATGAGGAGCAGTAATATTCTGTGATAAACCCAACAAAGCTGCAAAAATTTGTTAAGTTGGAAGTGATAAAGCATATTGAGGCTGGTGAAAAGACGGTGACCATCGATAAAGTTTTAGGTCTATCTCGGAAAGATAAAATCAAGGCAAGTAAGAAGTGTGTGACAAATATAGGTGCAACTATCATAGATTAGATTTGATGGAGAACATGGAACAATTTTACCTACCTACCTACCTAATTTACTCAATGGCCATCCAAACTAGAGGTGGCTTTGACAAGGGAAGAGGGCCAGTGGCCTGTGTAGGATCCCTCCATTGTTCTTGGAAAGTCTTTAACATGGTTATTTTGTAGCCCAGTAATGATCTCGTTTCTAGAGCTAGACCTGGTAGACTGTTCCCATAGGTCTACCACCCTCTGTTTGAATAAGTAAATCCTTTTATTTGTCCTGGATGACATCTTTGCGAGTTTGAAGCCGTGTTCTCTTGGCGCATGACGTCACAAATTGTTTTTTTTTAAATGTCTAAGATTCGTTCCATTGTGTTTTGTCTGAGGAGTTGTCAGTCCCAGGGCCCTCAGTCTACCTGGATAATTGAGATGTAATTTAATCAAATGCCTAAGAAAAATCCCAATAAAACACAACCACTGTTAGACCTTGGTTCACAGTGTTACCATTTTAAGGAAAATGAGTAGGTTTGCCAGGCAAGATTTTTTCTCCATGAATCCACGTAGTGATGTGTTGATTAGACTGTGCTCGGCGAGGTGTTTGATGATGGCATCCTCAAAATTTTCTCAAAGAGCTTGTACGTACAGTACAGTATTAGGAAACTTATGTTTATGTTAGCTGATCAGTCTATAATTTCCTGTTGGACTTTATCTACCCTTCTTGCAAACTGGGGTGATGACTAATTTCCAGTCCCTAAGCATTTTTATTGATCCAGCGACTTTCTGAATAGGAGTTTTAATGAAGCGTTAAACTAGTTCACCACCGGATCTATCATCTTGGTCTGTGTTCTGTCTAGTCCAGGAGCCGAGTACTGTATGTCGGTAAAAGATCAAAACGAGCATAATATACTGCTCAACACCATGATGATTTATTAAATTTTTGTCTATTCATACTGCATTTTTAACCCATACATACAATTGTGTTTCAGTGTCATTTTACTATATTTTGGAGATCTTTTTCCTGGAATATATCTTATTTATCCATAATGATAATCAGTGTAGGGTTTATATAATTTGGTTTACCATGTAAACTCACTAAAAAAACAGTCTGTATTCTTGGCTCTGAAACTATCTGCAACAATCACTGCGACAGAAGCCATGACCAGATTTTTTGGTCCGGTGTGTCATATTGTATAACCCCATAAAGGTGCAGAATATCTTTTAGTGAGTATACCAGTACAGGGTATAGAGTTTGGAGGAATGTAACCTTATCATAAATTATGATACAGTACACCTGTATATTGTTTTGCACATACAGTACCTGTACTGTACTATAACTTTAATCAACAGAATTTCCAATGCAAATAAATACTGTACAGTTGTTAAGTCAGAAATTTAGTTCTATTTTTTTTTTTACAAAGTAGATTTAAATAATTATTTCAAAAATGTTGTACCTAAAAATATATATGATAATGACGCCATTCAGAATTCTATCCTCAAGTAACAGGCGAATAAATTAACAAATACTGTATACTACAGCAAAACTAAAAGAAAACCCTTCAGCATGCTGTGCAAATTATGTGGAATATTTACTAGTCCTGACAAATTTTTGGATGAAATTTGCTTGCCTGGATTTTTGATGGGAAAAGTTAAATTAACAACTTCAAATATTCAAACTTATTGTGTGCATCAACTCATAGATCACTTGTGTCCATGTAAATGGTGCCAGTGGCAATAGCCCTTGTCATGTGATATCAAAACTCTTGTTACCAGTTTTGGGGGTTTCAGATTGATGAGACATACAGTAGTCCCTTGCCAACCGTTAGGTTAGGTTAGGTTAGGTTCTATGGCTGCGGACAACACTAGTCAAAACCTAACTAAGTTCCCTGTTCCTTCACTAAACAATACCTGTATTGTACATTAAATTAAATTTTAGTCAAACACTGTACAGTACATATAAAACAGCTTAATAGAAATTAAATAGTAATATAATTTTTACAGTACAGTACAGTATATCTGTAGAGACGGAATGTTGCTATAAAATAAGAATAAAGAAAAGCGTGGGTGTGTATGTGTGCATAAGTGAACGTGTATATGGACTTGGTAGGTCGCCAAGTTGGACTGTCCCGTGTTTCTGCTGTTTTTTGTGAATGTGAAGTGAGCAGTAACTTTGAAAATGTCTGGGAAGGCCAAGGCACCCAGAAAAACTGTCTCTGGAGGTGAAGCGGCACAAGACTCTCCAGAGGCTGTGGGAGTCAGAGTGACATCTCGGCTCTACCTTCAAGTGACCCCTTAACCTCGCAGGGGACATGTAATGACAACCAGGCGTGTGCTTAATGATGAGGTTAGTGTTTAATTGTTTTAGGTAGATTAATAGAGAAGGATTTTTTTCCTTTCTTTCTTTCAGCGATACACATGGGTGTACGACTGGCTAGGATTGTATCCCATTGAACACCATGTTATAATGCTCCCGATTTACAATATTTTGGCCTGTGATGGATTTTTCAGGAACCTAACCCCATCGTAAATAGGGGGCGAGTAGCACCAGGCAACCACCTTCTCACATCAGCTGATCACTAGTAAACAGACCATTTTGCGTCCCATTATTTTAGCCGTGTTGATTTATGAGTTTGTTTTAACATAATACTACAAAAAAACAATATTTTGTTTATTCTAGGATATGGGCTGAGGTGCATCTGGGTAGACTCTCAGTATTTTTAGTATTTTGTGTTTCTCTCAAGTACCAAACTAATTTATTCCATTGAAACAACACTTCGATTTAGTGCGAATTCAGTTTAAAGCGACCTCTCTTGGAACGTATATCATGTTATATCGACTTTCTACTGTATCTTTATTTCTAAGCCACATTAGAGTATTTTAATGATTTTTCTACAACTTTTATAGCATTAATGCTCCAGAAATGGTTGTGAAATATGGCACAGTGTGTGTGTGTGTGTGTGTGTGTGTCTATTGCGCTGTATGTGATGTCACAGGAGGCGGCTGGAGTGGTGAGTCAGCAACTCCACACACACACTTTCCACACAAACATCCATGCTCTTCACATGTCTTAGTTTATAGTTTTATACTACATTATATTTAATTTCTAACCCACATTAGAGTATTGTAATGATTTTCCACAACTCTTATAGCATTACTGTTGACTTTTAGCAGTTGTGGAACATATCCTTATTTTCCCCTTAAGATTAAGTACAGTATTCACTATATGAGGATTCCATTATGCTGTGTTGTCACAGAACTCAACCATAAAGCAAGAGTCAGGTGGACTGTATTAATTTGGGAATAGAATGGAATCTTTTCATGAAACTCCGTTGATTCTACAGTGGCATCCAAAAAGTTAATACAGTGGGGTATGCTATAACGAACGGATTCTACTACGAATATTCCTATAACGAACGGTTTTACCTATAAAATTGAGAATGCTATAACGAACGCAACTCCTACAACGAACGTGGATGAATACAGGACTATTTCGTCTGGCGCATGAATATTGTTGTACCGCGGCTCACATAAAGAGCGTCAGGCGCCATATTGGTTCATTGTGTACTCAGTGCACCACTGAACTTGTTGAAATTTCGTCTTTTGATGTGGAAATTCGTGTTATTTTTATAACTATTTTGTTATACAAGCGTACAATTGTAACAATGAATCGTCAAAAGCGAGTAAGAAAGCCGATAACCCTTGAAACTAAGAAAGAAATTATAAATAAACAGACAAAGTGCCTGTAAGACAGTCATCAAAGAGGGCTAGGAAGGATGACTCCTCTCCTTCCACCTCTTCTCCATAATTCTCTCCTCCCCCCTCCTCCTCTGCCTCCTGTCCTGCATACTAACAACACTAAGGTAAGATAAAGTACCGTACTTTTTACAATTTCCACAGAAATTTTTCAGTGTTAAGTGGTTGTATTTGGGGGCCTGGAACGGATTAATCCTATAACGAACTAATGCTATAACGAACGAGGTTCTAGAACCAATTAGACTCGTTATAGCATACCCCACTGTACAATGGTCTGGAAATAACGACTGCATGTTAAACTGAAAATAAGCGAGTGTGTAAAACATATTACCGGTCACTAAATTTTTCAGTTATTATGATAAAATTATGTGGTTTAACATGAATACTGTATAGTATAAGACTTAAAAAGAAGTATGAAAGCTTTGATTAAAAATTATATTGTATTTTAACATCAGACTAACCTTTAATATATCTACAGGTGTGAGTAAAATTCTTGCTACATCCACAGCAACATTCCCTTGACCAATAATTCCAACCGATTCTACATTCAAGTCAACCTTCAAATCTGCATTTTCAGGTAGACCATTATACCAACCCACAAATTCTCGGGCAGATAATACATTGGGCAAAGACTCTCCTGGGATGTTTAATGCTCGGTCTTGTGCAGCGCCATATGCCTGAAAAGCAAAGAAATGGTAAAATAAATTGCGAGAAATTACATATATTATATAAATGAAACCTTGATTCAGGAATCCCAGGCACCTTGTGAGATTTTGTTCTCTACTTACCTGAAGTCTTGGGATAAGCTTGTTCACACAGAATATTCAGGGTGTGCAGGGACTTTGGCATGGAAGCATTGCTTTGAGATCACAGTTATTTAGGGAGCTTACCCTAGTATATTTAATCTGACCTGACTACCGACTGCTGCGGTGTTTTTGAAGATTAGTAGGGTCAGTACCTAGTGACCTGATAATTGTGGATTAAACCATAAATTGCAGATCATTAAACATCATTGGGTGTTAAAAATTTTAAATCGCAAAACCAAAATATCACAAAGTAAACGATCGTTAAACAATGGATACCTGTACACCCTTGTATTCCTATTCATAAAATTTAAAGTAAAGACTTTATTCATAAATATTTAAAACTGAAATCCTGAAGAACAGGTGAGTATCTTACAGTACATGCATGGTTACCAACCTAAGCAAGTCTCTTAATCACAGAAGCTGTCAAATAAAATGTTGATCATAAAAGAAAATACAGGTTCTGAACTGTATTCAGTAATTTCTCATATTACAGTACAGTACCTAAAAGATAATTCTGCACATTTCATACCTACCAGAACAACAGCATGATAAGCTTCTCTCAACTGGCTGAAAGTAATATCACTTCCAATGTCAACATTGCCCAAAAATGTAAATCTGTCTTTAGCAGCAGTCTGGGTGAAGGTATTAATGCAGTTCTTCACTTCTGGGTGATCTGGTGCAACTCCATAGCGAACCAAGCCAAAAGGAACTGGCAGTTTCTCATACATATCAACTTGTGCTGCTGCATGGCTCTGAAAATATAAAAGACATAGTGAACTAAAAAAATAGTTATAATCTAATTGTGCACACTTGCCAATATTTGCATGTTAAACATAGAGAGATCTTGGTTATTCAACAAGAAACATTTTTCTTTTAAGTTGATGAGTTATGATCGAGTTTGTGACGTGTGGTTGCGAGAGGAATACTCCATATCAGAACACATCTACCATAGCTGTAATAATGAATGAATAATGAGAATGTGTGTGTGTGCACTTTAGATTCTGGTCACCATATTATAGCCAAGAAAGGCTTAAAGGTGACATAAAACAAACTATTGTACAGTATGTGGTTATCATGTAATTAGGAAATATTGTCGTAAAATGCAATACCTGTTCAACACTTCATTACGAACAATGAACATGAGTACTGCAACTTTCTAAGGAGAAATAGTAGTAAAGTATTGTACTATACTGTAATTTATATACAGTACATATAGAACCAAGTTAAAACACTGCTATATGAGAATTATACAGCAAGACAAAATCTACAGTAGGGTATTTGGTAAATTAATAATCACAAAAAGGTTAAAATTTTTACATGAGTAAACCAACCTTTAGTATTTGTTGAGCAGTATAGAAGCCAGCTGGACCACTACCAACAATACACACTTGGGGGACTTGAGCAGTGCTGGCAACACCTGTTCTCAGGTGACGAACTATGAGTCGACTTACACCACAACTTAGCATCATTTTTTACCTAAAATAGGATGATAGTTGTTAAATATCCACATCTTGCAAGAAATCTAAATAAATATTATACATACCAATTTTTTTTATTCCATTACTCAAGTTGTAAGAGTATTAAAACAAATTTATACATGTACACGTAACTGTACTGTGTATACAGTACAGGTGAGTTGCGATAATTACCTAAATAAAAATTCACATTCATTCATACATTCGTGGGTACCTCTATTACTACCCCCTTTTTTTCAAATTTCACGGTCAAATACAGGTCCATATGTGTTTCGGAATTCGGAATTCTTCGGTTTTCAGAATGGTAGAACAGCTCCTCCCCGACTTACGACGGGGTTAGGGACCCAAATTCAGGTCCTAAGTCGAAAATGCTTAAATAATACATAGGAAATCTAAAATGGGTGTCTCTTTTTCTTCTCAGCACCAAAAAACTTTCACTTTTAAGCCTGCCAGCTGTTTTAAAGTGAATACAAACGAAAATTTTCTCTGTGTACTGACGTTGGGACTTGAAAATACGTAATTTGACAAAATTTTGGTACAACTGAAGCAGGTCGTAAGTGTGAGTGGTCGTAAGTCGGGGAGGAGCTGCTACATATACCGTATATTATGGTAACACCCTAGCGGGGTCTGTGGCGGCACCCTGTAAGCAAACACATTAATATTTCTTCAACAAACCTTATGAATATTCACACTGAGTGGGATAAATAAAGACTATAAATAGTATTACAGGTTATTTGTACAGTAATAATTTGGTAAATGAAATCATGGGATAAATATAGTCCATAAATACTCTAGTACAGTACAATTATAGGAACATAGCGCCAGTACATAGCTGTTTCATCAGCATTGTAAATTTGTTCAGGACCAAGGTTTTCAACAGATATTATTTTGACAAATTCGTCAATTTAAATTTCAGCTGCTTCATAATCAGCACATTTAACAAAACAATATAATGTAACGAGATTCACCAACCCAAATATTAATGCCCATAGCAAATATAATAATTATAATCACTATATCACTTAAAACCCATATTTTACTTTACTTTTATCCTCTTTGCCACTGATCGGCTCGTTAGCCACTTGGGCGGTCATTCATGTCTCTGATATGCACTGTTGGCAAATACAGGGCAGTGACTGGCTCCTGAATACACCGGAACCTGCTCCAGTGTTGGTCAAGTCTGGCCTTGAATGAGCTCACACTCGGTGCCGTCACAACGGTCTCTGGCAAATTGTTCCACGAGTTAACAATTCTCACTCCGAAAAAATTTGCCCTCACAGTTTTCTGGACTTGTGGCTTCTTCAACCTTGAGCTGTGACCCCTTGTGGAGCGTACGTCGGTCAGCTTCAGGTATGTACATTCGATGAGTAATGCCCCCCCCCCCCCGAGATGTTTATACACTTCGATTAAGTCGCTCCTCTCCCATCTGTAGTATAAGCTAGGTAGTTGGAGGCAGTCCAATCTCTCTGGGAAACTGAGGTTCCATAGAGCAGGCACCAGTCTGGTGGCACTCCGTACATTTTCAATCAATTGACAGTCTCTAGCATACTAGAGCTCGAGGACCAGACGGGGTGACAATACTCCAGACGGGGAAGTACCTCACTCTTGAAGATCGTGACGAGCGACGGACCGTACAGATATCTAAATGATCCTTTAAGACCTACTAGTTTCATTGCCCGATTCACCTTCCTCTCACAATGACCCGAGAACTTAAGTTCATTGTACAGTACATATAATAACATACCTAAATCAAATATCAATATTTACTGTTGAACAATAAATTTAAATACCTATATAGGGAAATATCTAAGAACAGCATTACCACGAGAAGTTGTTCGATTTCATTAATTTTTTCCATGTTATCATTTACATAGTATGTATTTTAAGAGGCAACAACTTTTTAGTATAATTAGTAGTATTTTTTCTTACCTGTAGTGGGTAAAGCATGAAGGATGAAGGAAATTGACGAGTTGACAGTTAGAATTTTTTTGTAAGACGGCAGGTTAATGGGTAAAGAAAATGCTTAAATTCACAATGGTAATGATATTTTTAAGTAAATTAGGCCAAAAAGTGTAAAACATTAAGGGTTAAAGTTGCTAAAAAGTCACATGACTGTGAAAAGCTCTGTGATTGGTTGTGACGTCACTGGTTCCCTCGAACTGCAGAGAGGGAGCATAGAGGCAGCCAGCTGTGGTGTAAATCCATTATTATGTGTTGTTTACCAGCAAAATTACAGGACTTGTGTCCATATACAATGTTAATACAGGTTGACAATCCTTTATCCGAAATCCTTGGGGCCAGAGGCATTTCGGTTTTCGGAATTTTTCGGTTTTCGGAATTTTTCGGTTTTCAGAATGGTTAGGTTTTTTTTTTTATGTGTATTAGCCCACCCGGGCATAGATCACTGACCCACATTGGGGCCTGGGGGTCTAAAATATAATAAAAATTATAATAATAATAATAATAATAATTCATAGGTCTAGGTCGTGTTTCTCACTTTTGATCTTTTTTTCATTCTTGTATTTCTTTACTGTATTATTATTTTATTATTACAGTATTATTGTTGTTATTATTATTATTATTAATATTATTATTATATTTTATTTTTACTATTATTGTTATTATTATTATTATTATTATTATTATTATTGTAATCATTATTATTTTATTTTGGTGTATAATTATTAAAAATTTTATTTACTATGAATAATTATTATTACTATTACATTTTCGCCCCCCAGGCCCCGATGTGGGTCAGTGACCTGTGCCCGGGTGGGCTAATAATCCCTGTAAAAAAAAAAAAAAAACTTTCGGTTTTTAGAGCTTTTCGGTTTTCGGAATTTCGGATAAAGGGTTGTCAACCTGTATACACAGGCATACCTTATTTTTAGGCTAAAATAAATTACTGCTCAAGTATCCTCGTGTGTGTTTACTTGCTAGGTGCCAAAATGATGCAAAAGACCGATAACTCCAACAGGGAAGTTTTCATCACTGTTCTGTATTTCATGTCTGGAAAATGTAAGTTTTTATCATTGATGTCTATATTTAATGTTGTGGAAGGACTAGGGATGACCATGGCCAGGGGATGGGCTTGAGATGATCAGATGACAGAAGTAATTTAACGTGCTTCATAGTGGATGGCGGAGTTCTTGATAATACTCTACAATCATAAAGACATCAACTTTTGGTAAATTTCTTTCATCTGCCTTGATGAACCCTGGAAGTAGTTGTCCAACTTTCTCGGCTGATCAGCTCTAAATGAATATTATTGGATAATTAATTGTGCTTTACTGTAGAACACAGTAATGCTATATTGAATATATAAATATTACTAAGTACATTAACTAATTCAATAGATATTAGCTGCCCCTCCTACAAATTTCATAGTAAAACATCCTAAACAGTATTGGTATTATTTTGGTTTTGGTCATCTGGGGAACCTTAAGATTCTAACTATGGGATTAAGCACTTTAAACAATAAGACAAATTATCTCTATCGGATTTGTCGCAAAACATTTTTCTATCGCATAAGAAAATACAGATCATAGGTTAGGTTAGGTTAGGTATGATGTTATATTATAAGTTATAAGATTAGCTTAACATACATCGGTAAGGGGAGTAGTAACTCAAAACTAGTGATTTCCGAAAGAAATGAAGGTCAAAATCGTTGATAACACATCATAAACCATTAGGAAAAACCATAAGTCTTCATGTCTAAGTACAGGGATGACCAAAACTTAAAATTTACCCAACATAGCCTGTCTCGAATCTAAACATCAAAATACTTTATGGTAGTTACAGTAAAACTTAACCCATTAATTAATATAAATGTTGATATATCCTAGTGGTTCATTAGTGAATCATCAAAACAACAAGAGCACCATGTTTTCATGTTTACCTAGCATCAGGAATTCTCAAACAAAGTCAAGACAATGTCATTACTTCTCAATTGACTCATATCTCATCCGTGCATCATCAGCGGGGTAGGTGGTGACATCATTGCAAATGGTGACCCTGTTTCTAGAGAAATAAACTTATCTCGACTATTATAGCAGGACTTTAAACTTTTATTCCAAGTTATATAGTATACCGTATCACTACGAACATAGCCGAGTGTATTTCTTATGTTTACCCAGAACCGTCAACTCGTCAATTACAGAATAAAACAGTGAAAAACTTATCATATGTCACTAAAATGATGTCTCTGCGTGCTTTGTATGTGAAGAAATTAATTATTTACCGCAAATACTCCTCCGAAAAATTTGTATGGTCACCATGTGTCATTTTTTAATTTTCAATACCAGATATGGCTGAACAAGTTGAAGAGCTGTGCCGACATTGTGATGAAGATTATTTTATGTCAATTGCGAGTTTCAACAGAAAAATTGTGAGGCTATTTCTTTTTGTAGAAAATGCAGTGTATTACCGAACAACATTCTTTGTCCAAGATGTGGGGGCATTAACAAAGGGGGGTCCAGGGGGGATGTTAGATAGGTTAAGTTGGGTTGGGTTGGGTTGGTGGTATTTTATGTATGTGAGTTACTGAAGAAAAAAAAAGGTTAATATATTATAGGACAAACCCTCCAGCTGCATAGCGCCGATGTGGCCATATCATCTCGCGTCCAGAAATTTCACCATATTATAATAAGTGCTTTCTGTTTAATATACCGGGGAAGTTAGGTAAGGTTAGGTAGGTAGGTTTGTTTGGTTTGGTTGGTTAGGTCTGTTCTTCAAACGTACAAATGTTAAATAACGTTTATTTTAAAAATATTTTTTTTTAATATTTCCACAAACTACAAGTGTCCACTGTAATATAACAATAAAAATCCAGCGTTTTTATAATTGTTTTTATTCAATTTCGCTCGCGGGTTAGTCCTATATAATTACCCCAAAAAATTCCAACTTTTCCGTTAAGATTGTTGGGAGGTTGGGGGGGGGGGGCTGGGGGTGTATCTAGAAAAATTAACTAGTGATTTCCGGCGGAAATGAACATCAAATTCTTTCGAAACTCACCAAATACCATAGGAAAAACATATTTCTAATATAAAATAAAGACCGGTGCCAGATTTAAACAAATCATGGCGACACTTGAGACTTGGGAAATCTAATAATATTGAAAACTAAGATATCAGTTATCCTTAATTTCCGGCGGAATTATCATATTAGAAAAATGTCTTAGAATTGTCTAAACATTACGAAATGCATATTAAAAACTGCGAGAGAAAGACCGATGTATTACTATAAATTGACCGATTCTCTGGATGACCGAAACTAATACCTAAAAAATGTCAACCACGGAACCCTATAATTATTTATATAATTCGGAGACCATACACTGTGACTTTACAGTATAGACTTACCTTTATAACACTGCACAGGTTTTTCATCAAGTGTTATCTCCCGTACTCCAGTTGGCGGTGCTACTCTTGTTAGTAAACAAACGAGTCATTTTTCCATTTTAAGCACTAACTGGCAACTTTGTACTGATTGTCTTAATACTCTTCTCAATGTTGATAAAGACCTTTAGTGTAACTTGCTGATTTTAGTAATCAAAACATTCAATCAAATATACCCTAAATTATACCAGCGATTTTATGTATGAGCTGTGCAGAATGCAGATCACTTTTGTTTTCATTCGCGATTGCACTAAGAAATTAGTATTTGGTCACGTCAGTAGTGTGTGTGGGGCCAAGGAATATAATATTCCCTTATTCCAATACTATACCAAGGAATATCACAAGGCACGATAAATCTTACGAGAATAAGTCAATCCCCATTACAGTAGTTGGATGCATGTCCTAGACTAGAGAAAGCACGGGATCACTGGTGTCAGCAGTCTGTTCACACTTCAACGTTGGCTAGGTAGTGTGGCGGTAAATATAAACACGGAGATCTAATGCCATCCACACATATACGTAAATTTTGGTGACTTTACGTCTCTGTAGCAGTGGAGGTTTTCAAAGTGTAATTGGAAATACCGCAGGATTGACCTAAGCCAGTATAAGTAGGGAAATTACCCAGGTGATGCATGTTTTGTATCGGGGAGTTCCCATTACTAATTTATTTGGGTTGCCTGTCCGATTACATTCCATTTGGACGATCGTATTGTTTTATGCCATTTTATTTTGCGAAACCCAACCTGACCATGTAACAAAAAAAATGGTAATTTTTGAAAACAGTACTACTACCAGAAGTTGTTTGATTTCATTTTTCCATAGATGTTCTATCATTATAGTAAGTATTTTAAAAGAGGCAACAACTTTTTATTTTAATTATATGTATTTTTTTCTGCACGATCATAAATTACCTGTAGTGAGCAGGGTATGAAGAATGAGGGAAATTGTGGGATAAAACAAGGCGAAGAACTGATCATATGAAACTAAATTGATGTCTACGTGCTTTGTACGTGAATATATTAATTATCGTAAATACTCCCCCCCCCCCCAAAAAAAAAAGTCGGTGTACTGTTTGTTTACAATTGACTCGTTTGATCCGAATGTACTGTAGGGGTATCGAGATATTAATGTTGTCTAGCACTCAGGATGGAAGGAAACTCTAATGTGGTTTTCTTGTATAATATATAAGTTATATGATAGACAGTCTGGTGCTGGAGATGCCGTCTGGTGAGGAGCTGCTCAGTAGAAGACGTTCGGTGAGTAGCGTGTTGAAGGAGGTAGATGTGCTGGACAGCTAGGAGCTTGCTGGAGGAGATGTTGCTTGTTCAGGAAAATGGGCAGAATGAGAGTTGGTTGGTGAGGAAGCTCAGAGGACAGCTGGTGGGTCGCCATGCTCGCTGGCAGGAGCGAGGACCGACAGGCAGGCGAGGAGAAGCGAAAGGCAGCCAGGCAGCGGCGGAGGAGGAGGTGTTGCTTGTTCAAGAAGAATGGTAAGAATGAATCTCAATGGAGAGACAGAGCTTATATACCCAGCAGCAGCCGCTATGAGTCATGTTGGGAAAACCCGAGAAGTCGCCGGTGAATAGTTTCGTTGCTAGGCAACGGCACGTTGGAATGTGATAGCAGGTGGTGGCGTGGCTACGCAGTTGTAGAGGAGACGTCCACTACAATACTCCCCCTTCCCTCCAGGCGGTGTAGGAGACTTGTTGATTGTAGAGTTGCTTAGCACATGTGAGGCAGACCGGGCGGTGCATGCCTCATGTGAGACAACGGCGATGGCGTGATGAGCCGATCGCTGAAATACACACTATCTGTGGGAGAAGGGAGAAAAAGGGTGTGTGGAGGCGATGATTGGTGTGCTTCCCTCACGGCAGGTACTGAGTCGTCAGATGCGCCTGCTGGGGTGTGTGTGGGCCTGGGTCAGGAGCAGGGGCTGCGTCAGCAGAAGCGGATTAGGGCTCGTGACAGCAGCTGGGTCCACGACAGCAGCAGGGTGCAGGACATTAGCAGGGAGTACCTGAGGGAGAAAAGAGGGGGTGTGGAGGCGATGGATGTTGTGTGCTTCCCTCACGGCAGGTACTGCTGGGCCGGGGTCGGCGTCTGAGGCAGGACGGGTGTGCTGGGGTCGTCAGAATGTGGTGCGTGTGGCAGGAAGAGGAGCCGGTGTCTGCTTGAAGACTGAGAGCGTGATCAGTGTCTAGTGGTTTTCTTGTATAATATATAAGTTATATGATAGACAGTCTGGTGCTGGAGGTGCCGTGTGGTGAGGAAGCTCTCTGTAGAGACGTTCGGTGAGTAGCGTGTTGAAGGAGGTAGATGTGCAGGAGCTTCGTTAGAGAAGATGTTGCCTGTTGCTGGCCTCCTGGTTGAATGAATGCTGGACAGCTAGGAGCTTGCTGGAGAAGGTGTTGCGTGTTCAGGAAGATGGGCCAGAATGAGAGTTGGTTGGTGAGGAAGCTCAGGGAAGGACAGCTGGTGGGTCGCCATGCTCGCCGGCAGGAGCGAGGACCGCCAGGCAGCGGCGGAGGAGGAGGTGTTGCTAGTTCAGGAAAATGGGCAGAATGAATCTCAATGGAGAGACAGAGCTTATATACCCAGCAGCAGCCGCTATGAGTCATGTTGGGAAAACCCGAGAAGTCGCCGGTGAATAGTTTCGTTGCTAGGCAACGGCACGTTGGAATGTGATAGCAGGTGGTGGCGTGGCTACGCAGTACTACAGTACTCTCACGTCAACAAAATAAAATTAAAATAAATAAAACTGCAGTTTCTAACCATCCCCAACCTTTAGATCTTATTTGGTCTATTTCTAACCCAATTTCAACCAATCGGTTTGGTTACTTTTAGATTACTTGGATTCACTCGAATTTCCTAACCTTGGGCATTCATCATTTCCTAAAAATAAAAAATCCGAGCCAATCTTTGCCAAAATTGGCTCAGATTCTCAAATTTGGGCTTTTATTTACCTTTCAAAAATGGAAAATCATAGCCAACTTTAGTGATTTATTTCGCAAAGCACTCGGGCCTTCGTTGATGAGCGGCAGAAATTGGA